AGCCCCTCCCCCCATGTGGCCAGGATTTGGGGGCGCGGGAATCCCCTTCATGCTCAGCAATTCCCAGCCCCTCCCCCCATGTGGCCAGGATTTGGGGGCGCGGGAATCCCCTTCATGCTAAGCAATTCCCAGCCCTACCCCCCATGTGGCCAGGATTGTGGGGCACAGGGGGACACCCCCTTCATCCTAAGCAATTCCAAGCCCCTCCCCCCATGTGGCCAGGATTTGGGGGCGCGGGAATCCCCTTCATGCTCAGCAATTCCCGGCCCCTCCCCCCCCCATGTGGTTAGGATTTTGGGTGGGGTCTACACTCTGGCTTCTTGGCAGATCCAAACATGCGCCCTTTTGGAGGGGAGAGGTAGGGGAAGACCATGTGCACTTCTGTCCCCTACTCCCTCCTCCCCCTCCGGTTCCCAACACCCGCACCCTGCGAAAACCAACGGGGGGCGGGGAAGCGAGAAGCAAGGATTTCATTCACCCTTCTCAGTCGCGGCAACGTGATCTGCCCCCCTGCCTCAACCTAGTTCCTGGAGAATTTCTCCCAGCCCCCTCCCCCCATTCCTCCTTTTGTGGCTTCAGTTCTCCTCCCTTCTCAGTGCTCCTCCAACAGAAGGGGGGGGCAGGGTTACATCTTCCTGTCCCTCCCAAAGAATCTCTTCTTATCGAGTGGTGTTTAGGGCCCCCCACTGATCCCGGGAGGTGGGTTACCATGCCCACGGAAAGCCCGGGACTCCACGTTTCCCCTTTGATTAAGAAGTTTACACCGGGCAAATCCCATTCAAGCCCTTGGAAGCCATGGGGGGAGGGGAGGGGAAAGGGGCAGCTGTGTGTGTGGGGGGGTGATGTTGAGAGAAGACTGAGGGGGGCGAGGAGACGGAGATGAAGTGGGGGGGGTGCCCCCCCCCCTCTAAAGCCTACCTTGGGAAATAGTAAATAAAATAGTAAATTTTGTTCTCACCACCCAGGGCCTGCCCAGCCCGCATGCCCCTCCCACTCCAGGGGCCGGGCCTTGGTCCCCACCACGTGGCTTCCTCTTGCAAACATTTTCACTCATTTTTCCAGGTCGATTTTATTTAGAGGCGGGCTCCGAGCGCGACTCGCAGGAGTTGGGGGCTGGGAGGGACCAGCCGCCGCACTTTTCCCCAGCCCGCCCTACCAGGTGAAACCACCCCCT